GTGTGTGTGTGTGTGTGTGTGTGGTGAGTAAAGCAACAGATGCAGGAAGCAACTTGCTCTCATGCACTATTTCCTCACAAGAGGATTCTCTCAGGAGGATTCTTTTCATAGGAAAGAGTTTCTAAGCAAATACTCTTCAGTGGGCCAAATTTCACAATATTCAATCGCTGCGAAAATATTCATGTGTTCTGATTCTAAGTCTATACAACCAAAAAGGCTTACATATCTCAGAGAGTGAAACATTGAAATGTGGGAACTTAAGAACTCCCACTGATTATGGCGTGAAAGGCAACCAGCAATTAACTCAAAGAGTTCATCAAAGCCCATTGTTTTTTTTCTTTTTATTTCCCTTCATCGTAATTGAGCAGTGTGGCGACGCAATCCTGGACTATTACACGACGCCGCTTCACATTGTATAATGCCAGCAGTCAGCAAGGTCGAAGTTGCGGATTAACCAGGTGGCTAGGAAATGCTAATTTTTGTTGTGGGCAACATGGCCACTGTCCTCAAAAATAGGATCTTCTCTGTTTGGTGGGATGACAATTCGGATATCATGGCAGGACAATCTGTTAGAGGATTCCCCGGCTACGCGAGGTCACGTGTACCAATGTATTTATTAGTAGCTCGCTTAGAGTCCCACAATGAAACAAGGTTGATATCGGTCCTCTAAGACAATCCATTCATTAGTCATCTTAGCCTTGGCACCACGTGATTTAACGCTGTATCAATCGCTTCCTGTTGACTGTTGGAGCTAGCTGATTAGTTATAAGGCTCTGAGTCATCAACCTCGCTTATAAGTTCCCAACTCTGGAAACTGGCTGATCACATTTCACATTTTTTATTAATCAGTGACCATAGTTAGAGATCAAATCTTTGATATTTTTACTTTTCTTCTTCATTTATAATTGTCTATTGACATCAGTGACAATTTATCAAAGATATAACTTAAAATATCATTTATGATTTATTTAATATCAAAGATAATATATTTTCTCTAGAGTATCTGCTATATTTCAAATCTAATAATATATTTTAAAAACTTCTTTTAAATTTATATTTCAAGTATATTAAAAGTACTCTGAAATATAAAGTTATAATTATTTATTAAAACTTTAAAGATCAAAATTTATATAAATAATTATATTTTATAAATAGATAAAAAATTTTAATTAATAAAAGTAATTATATAAATTAATATAAGAATTTTTTTTTAAAAAAATAATAAAAAATAAAATTAATTATTTTCTTAAATTATCTTCAGAATTATAAAATTAATTTTTTTAAAGTTAAAGAGTATTTAAAAAAGAATTTTTTTAAATTTAAAAAGTATTTTAAAAATTAAAAATATATTAAAATTATAAAAATATTTAAAAACTATAGTATTTTATATAAAAAATATAATTTTTCTTAAAATTAAAAAGTATTTTAAAAATTATAAATATTATAGAATAAAAAATATTTTAATATTATAAAAAGTTTTAAGAATTATAATATATAATTTAAAATATAATTTTTTTAAAATATAATAAATACTTTAAAAATTAAAAATATTTTAAAATTTATAAAAATAATAATTTTAAAAGCTTTATCAATATCATAATTATATTTAATAAAAAAATTATTAGAAAAAGAGTAATATAATAATTTTATAGATATATAAATAAATAAAGTATAGATAATATTTTAATTTTTATTATATTATTTTAAAAAATAATTAAAACTCAATATTCTTATATTTTTTGGTCTCTAAAGGAATTTTTATAAAGATAATACTTTAATTATAAATAATTATATTTATTTCTTCATACTATTTTATTCAATAATTTTATATAATATATCTGTTAATTAGATTATTAATTAAAAGAAAATATATTTAAAAAGAAAAGTTTATTAATTTTTTTTAATAGCTTAATTTCTTCTTTAATAATCTGAATAATACTTTAGATTTATATAACTAGTAGTTAGTTATAATTATATAGAACATTGATTTAAGCTAAATATTTATCTATTACTTTTATTGATATTTAAAATTTAAAAAATATTTACTATTTATAATACTGCTAGTTGAGTATTCAAAATTAATAAAAAATAAATTAAGAATATCATTAGAATTTTTATACAGTAAATAGTTTTCAAAATATAAATTAGAAAAATAATACTTTTCTGATAAATATATTAAATATCTTTTATAGCTTAAAAGTATTATTTGAAATATAAAATTAGATTAATTATATCTATATAATAGTTATATATTTTCAAATTATTAGCATTGACTTCAATAAAAAATAACTTGAGTATACATTAATATTTAATAAAAAATAAAGTTTAAGTATTTATATTTTATTATTCTAAGATAGTTTTTTAAGATTTTAAGAATTTTTACTTTAATATTAAAACTATATTTAATATGTTTAACTGAATCATGAGATTTTATAATTACAAAATATTATTATAAATAGTGAGATGATTTGAAAACAGCTTTAGTTTTGATCTATATAATAATGAAGATTAACTCAATCTAGAACTTCTTTGATAAGAGAATTAGAGATTATCAGTTTTGAGCTTTTATTTCATACAACTGAACTATTTTCTTCAATATGTATTAGTGTTATGGTATGATTGCTAGTAATATGAATTGAGATTGATTCACTTCAATTTTCAATCATCTATTTATATTCAGCTGCTTATACATTCACATTTTAATTTTCAGTTTAGTATTCTCATCGCAGTTGTCTAGTTAGATAGATGAATTAAAGCTTTATCTTTATATTATCATAATTTTAGTTGAGTTATGATAGTTAGAATTTTTCAATGAAGTTAATTTTATATACTAGATAATAAAAGTTTAGCAAAAGATATACTATAATTTAATATTATATCTTATTTACTTATCTTCTTTTCTATATTTGTACGCTGTTCAATATTTTTAACTTTTAACTCAGTCAATTTTTTGAGTTTAAATTAAAGTAAATGAACAATACTTTTTGAAAATGCAAAGATATAATATTATAGAGTAGATTATATTAGTCAGTGAAGTAAGCAATTGAAGATTAGTATGATAATGCTAAGATATTAAAGACTTTTTGAAGATAATTTTATATATTATATCTTTTAAATTATTATATTTACAATAATAGATAATTATATTATCAAGAATAATAATAGAAATTTCTACTGAGTGTTAGGCTCGGCGCCGGGGCTAGGCTTATCTTCATCACGTGACCACACCCCACATGTAACCCAGTGGATCGGTCGTGATCCGGTCACGTGATCACGTGGGCTGTTATAATCCGAGCAGACCTTTGAATTTCGTTACATAGCAGTTAGCAACGCAGAGAGTTTCCTTCTTATGCAGCTCGCATTCGCTCCCTAACACTGAGTTATTCTATTTCTATAGTTCAAATATAATAATTAATTAATAATTATTAGAAAAAATTACACTTTTATGAAATTAATAGCAAGCTCTCATTTTACTGACTATATTATCAGAGATAATATATAAAGATATGAATTTATAGTCAAAGTGAATATGATAGTTATTTAATATTTTATTATATAACTAACAGTAATTAACTACTAATTAATTAACTAGTTAATTAAACTAGCATTAGTTAGTTTTGTGTTGTAATATGATTAACTACTAAATGATTTTTACTACTTAATAATTTTATTATCTATTATATTTTTACTTTGCTGAATTGCTGAATTGTAAATTTTTAAAAAATTAATAAATTGAATTACTACTATCTATTAAATATTAAATAATTATATTATAGAATATATATATATTAGTATAATTAAGAAAATAAATGAGTATTTAATTAATTTAATAGCATAGCTAAAAGAGCTAACTTTACTTTTCATAAGAAATATAAATAAAAAAGTACTAAATAATAATTCTGATACTGAATTTAATGAATTTTCTTATAAGACAGTTTATATAAATTCTATAGATTTGAATTTAACTATATTTACTTTGCACTGATATTTAAGTAACTGCTTTAATATTTTCTCAGTAGTTTTCTAATTTTTAGATTTAACTACTTTATACTTTTTAATCTCTGTAAATTTTAAATAGTTATTCAGACTACTTCATAAGCTGCTTTTCACTTAATATTATTAAAAGTTTATTAATTTTATTGAATAACTCATTGTAGCTGAAGTTCTTTTTTATATAGTCTTTAAAGTTTTTTACTTTTCTAGCTTAATTTTAAACTTCTAAACTACTGCAATCTTGTTAAATAAAAAGAATAAAGTTTGTTTGAGTTTATCTCTGTCAAATAACTTAAGAAACTGGTCTTATATCTACTACTATAGCTATATCTGA